GGAATTGCTGCAGCACAACAGGAAGGAGCACTTACCAAGGATTCTTTTCCTCCAAGAGATCAGGCACAACATTTACCAAGGCAATATACAGAAATCCTCCAGAAGTGAAAGGGAGGATCCAGGCTACTGTTTCACCTGCACAAATACAGAAAGCTTTTGTTATTACTGAGACAAAGCCATGGGAGAGAATAGGGAAGGGAAGGAAGATACACACATGGGGACGATAGGCCTCCCTCCTATTCCTACAGAGGTCCTAGGGAGCCTTACCTGCTCCTTTTGGTGACTGAGCACATATTGCAAAGCAGGCTCCTAGAATCCCCCCCAGAGCTGTGGAAAGCTGCATTTTGGCTGCACTCCAGCGGTCAAAGCCAGCCCGAAGTAGGATTGCAAAGTCTCCAACCTAAGAAAACCAAGAACTGACAGTTAATGAATAGGAACACTCTCAGTCACAAAGGCTATCCATAACAAGACCAGTGCTTCATGACTTTTTCTACTTTTCCATGTAGCCAGTCTCCCAGAGGGAGCAGCTTTCAAAGGGACAAGAAAATGTTAACCAGACCCAACCCTCCTCTGAGTAGATGAAGCACCCTTGTAATACCTCATGATGGCAGGATACAAAGCCCTCTCACCTCATGTGGGATTTCGTGCAGCAGAATGGCCATTGTGGTTAGGAACCCAACCTGTAACAGAGGAGAGAAGGTGATTAGGAAACAGTCCCCCAACTCTGAAATGAGACTTTTATCAGCATGTCAAGGCCCCTTTCTCCAAGTTAAGACTTGTTACTCAGAGTTTAGAACAGAGGGTAGATGAGCTAACCCTTCCCCTAATGCCAGTACAAATGACTAACATGTCCCAAGGCTGACGAAGCTCTGCATCAGAGTGACAGGATAGGGTTGCTTTTTACTGTAGTCTCCATTTTCTCAGAAACTCCTCACATCTTTGATTTTTTTTTTGCATGTTGCATCACACTTGAGAACAGGCCTCTCCAGTTCAATGCACAGCTGGTGACAGAAACCTTACCTTTCTGCTAACCAGGAAGCTGGCTGCTACCGCCAGGCCATGTGTAAAGTTATCAATGGTGTTGGCCAGCAGGTTGAGGTATCCACTAATCTGCAATAAGAAGAAAGAGCCCCTGATAAAGGAAGAGACATAACAAGATAAAAGAAAGTACATGGCTTAGACACAGGTTATACAGAGTCATGATGAGATGGGAAAGGTCAGGACTGGCACTTCTGGCGAAGACCTTAAACTACGTCGGTGCTGCAGTACAAATTAAATCACAGAATCACTAAGGTTGGAA